TAGATTTCATGCAGTAACAATAGTTATGAGCAATATATAGGATGATCAAAAAACGTTGGAAGTCCTTGAAAGTGGTGGTTCCGGGGCGGGTCAGGTGGTGATTTGAAACAATTTTTCCTTAGCGAAAATGGTGTTCGAGGCTTCGTTAAGGGGATATTCCAGAAACAGAAACTCACGACCAATCAGAGTGCGAGTATGCCAGAGGAGCGCCTGCGGAGCGTACGCTATCGCAGGCGTCCACGGTATACTCGCGCTCTGATTGGTCGGGGTTTTCTGTCAATATCTCCTTAACGAAGCCTCGAACATTTTCGCTATGAAAAAATTGTTTCAAATCACCCCCCGAAACACCCCTTTCAAGGACATCCAACATTTTTAGGACACCCTGCAAATGAAATTATCAAGAATGCTGGAAGGTTATACAAATATGGAATTAATCGAGATCGGAATCGGAATTAATTAATGAACCAAGAAAAAAAAGGAATTTGGCAATAACAATAGTTATAAACAATATGAAAAATTCATAAATTTTTGCAAATGTGATCATCGCGAAAACCTGTACGGCAGCAAAATGTAAGGGATTTCATCGATTTCAGGCTAAACATACATAAAGTAGTACGCTTTTTGCGATAAAAAGTGATATAAAGTGGTAAAAAGCAAAATAAGGACAAATGTTTTGTTATTGGACCAAATGGCAAATGCTCTTTCAGATCCAAGAAGTTTCAATTTTATTGGTCCATCCGTCTCGAAGTAAGAAGCAAGACAAAATTTTTATGTTTTTAAAAAAAAACGGGTAAAAAATGACAATTTGCAAAATGTTTCTTTTATGCGAACTGGTAGAAATATTCGACAAGATGCAAGAGGTTTCACTTCGATTCATTAAGCCATCTCGACGTAATCGGCAAGCATACCTAAAAATCGCGGTTTTTGGTAAAAAAACGAGTAAAAAATGACAAATCGCAAAAAGTCTTACTGGCAAGATCACTGAGGGAACATTCTCTACAAAATGCAACAGTTTCATACTGATTGGTCAAGCCATCTCGGCGTAATCGATGAACAGACATTTAAAAAAAAAATATATATATATATACATGTCGAAATGAGTAACCTCCTCCTTTTCGAAGTCGGTTAAAAATATAAAAGCCTTTAGTTTGTGCATTAGTAACTAACTAGTGACCAAGGTGACACTTGTCATCAAAGTTCGATTGACCTATTTCTAATCCATAATGCTCGACAGTACGAATCGACGCAGCAAATGCTTTGATTTTATATTTACTACGAATTTATATGAAGGGAAGTTATGTTTCGATCGGTAGAAACGTGTACCGAATGATAGATGTATCCCACATTTTTCGGGCGGCTTTGCGAGGTATTGTACCGCATTGTCTTTTGTTTCGATTCAAGCGGCAGGAGGGCGTTTGATGTGCGTGAAGATAGCCCCGCACTTTTCGAATTTTTAGTTTTTCTTTGTTGTGCCGTGTTGTGCTATCTTTATGCTGAATTGTGTCGTAAATAAGAGATTGATAATATCAATAATAATTAATGAAAGAAATAAAACCAATACTATACTAGCCCCGCAGTTTTGCCGAAACAAACTTTTTTTTCTATAAAAAGATGCGTACTAACATGTGCTACATTGTGCCATTGTATATTTGTGCCAGCACAAATATAGCACAATACGGCACAAGAAAGAAAAACTCAAAATTCGAAAAGTGCGAGGCTAACTTCACACACATGGGCGTTTGAGAGTCTTTTTATTTTCCTGTAACGGTCGTAGTGTACAGATGTACTGCATCAATCACAATGTGTTTTTATATACTTCAATTTTATTATTCAAATATATCCTGTTTAACATTTTTCGCGCGTCTTATTTATTCGCTACCCTCGATCAATTCCAAAATCCTACATTTATGCTTTAAAATACCGAATTTATCCCTGAAATGGAGTTCTCAGTGCAGTGTGGTAGCATCATGGTTAGGATGATGCGCCTGAATAGTTTGACACAAATAGCGGAATGCAATCAACTCTAAATAGTAACAAGGTACATAAAATGAAATGTTTCTAATGTAATCGACGAATGTTTCCATGGCACTATGATGGATGGAGCGAATGCTAGTATTCGAAAAATTGCAAGAGAAAACGGTGAAGTGTTTTCGAAATGTGCGGTTGGTTAATCAAAGTCGAGGAAATCGATCTTTCGACGCAGCGCGGCGCGCGTCTGGTACCGTTTAATGTTATAGCGAAAAATACCGCAACGTCAAGATACGAGGAAGCGGCTATAAGTTTCCAAGCCGATACTGAGCACTGCTCTTTCCGAATTTAAGAAAGTGGATTTCAATTAGCCCGAAGACTTTGGAGGCGGCCGGCAGCCGATAAAATAACGAGGAGCCAAGCCCTTACACGAACACGTCCGAGAGAGGTAGACCCACACTTTCTTGGCTCGGGTTCGGGTGAATTATGCTCTCTCCCGACAGTAACTTACCCACACGGAATTAATGCGTGCTTGTGCAATCTTGGCTGCCACGGTCCAGCCTACCTGGGCTAATGAGTAGGTGTTTGTTGGACATTCTGACACGTTTTACGACTCACCAGATTACTTCCCTCCCTCCTTTAGTCGATAGATAGAGCCGCCGGCTGTTCCGAGTGTGCCGCCAACAAAGATTGGGATAGGACAGTTGATTTACTACGGTCAAGCGGTACGATTTCATTCGAGGATACGCCTAGTATCGCCAGCTCGTTACTCTTTCGATCTTGTCGAATGAAATCAGCTCGTCGATCTGCCAAAGGATTAAAAATTTCGATTGATGTTGATTTACCGTCCCGATACCTTGTACCTCGCAACTTGCGACAATCTCTATCGTCGCGTTTATTTTCCTTTACGTATGCCTTTACGTATTCCTTTACTTACACCTTCGCATAAGAGTAAGGGTTACGTATTCGCTTAACCTGGATAATCGAGTATCTCGAGATTTAAGGTGGTTTGGTTACAAATGACAACAGTTCAGATTGTCTCATATCTGAAAACTTACAATTTACATCTTAATACACATCTGTGTGAAATATGAGTTCAATTTACCATTTAGTTTGTTAGATATGATCACTTAAATTTCGTGATTTTGTATCGCATTTGACAGGACGCTTATGGCAGCAGACCGATGGAAGAAAAGAAAATTTGTATGATACTTTTGACTTTTGAAACAATTTGTACAATAGAATTCGAAACCAAAAATAAATGGAAAGTATATTAATAATTGTAGAGTAACATATTTCAATTTCGGCACACTTGCCCGTTTAATATCAAAGCGATATGCGTTAGAAAAGTCGAGTACGACATTTTTTCATGCAGAGTTCTGTTTCGGGAACGTGGCAACATCGTATATAAACATGGCCGTTGCGCGGTACTTTGAAAAAGAGAGGGCGTTTCAAGATTCTAAAACATAACAATTAAAAATTCTTTATATTGTTAAATCTTCAAATGAGCCAAATAAAAAAATTTATTAAAAATATTTAAATATTGTATATTTATTATGAATGCTATGAATTATTGTGTTAAATATTATTGTTATACATTTGTATTGTTAAATGAGGTTTGTGTACACTTTACAATAAAACCAAATGTCAAATTTATTTACAATCTTTAGCTTTGTTGCTCAGTTGATCAATTATTTTTCTCAAAATAATGTTATTATTCGTTGCTTTCGCTTTTTTATTATGCAGTTCACTTAAAAATGAGGTCACATTTTTTTCATCACTATTTTGGAACATTTTCAGTAACTCTTCATACTCAATTACTGCCGTAAGTTTTTTTAACCATGTAATCACTAAGTGTACATTTCATTGGCAAATATGATTTTATCTTTAAACTTCTTTGCTGTTTATGTATAAATTTATTTACTTCATAAGTAAACAAAGTTGTATTTGGTAATAAATCATCAGGCTATAATGAAGTATTAATAAGTTTTATTAAAACAATGACGTCATATATAGTTTCGAGGAAATTTTCACGTGGAGGATCTTTCTGTGAAAAATCATCTGTCAACTTTGATATGGTCACCATACCTTGACCTTTTCCATTGGCAAGTTTTTTCTTCTGAACCTTTAAAGTTTAAACTATCACAGATTCCGTCAACGGTGTTTTTAAATTCATTCACTAGCGAATATTTTTAAATCTCCTTAAATAAGTATGATACATCAAACTGTGCGTCGTGAGCAATTAATACACGCTCTTTAAACAATGATAAAAATTGAGAAAAAGCTTGTAAAGCTTCGCGCATTGTCACTGTTAGTAATCCTTTACCTCGTAAATATTTTCTAAACCATTTATTTGAGTAACTTCGTAAGGGATTGGTTCAGTAGGCTCAATATGAACTGTCCATAAATTCTCATCAACCTTAGCTTAGCCGCGATTTGTAAAATATTACAATTTTTATTACGACCAGACGTCTCAATGTCAAAACAAATTATTTTATTTTTATTTGCTAATAAAAAGATATATTCATTAATAGGTACTTCTGGGATTGCACAACTGTTATTTATTTCAAACAAAATATTACTTTTATATGTTACTCCTTCAGAATTTTCTAATGTCTTTCTTAGAATTTCTCTGTTCATAGTACTTGTCTACGTTTTCTAGCTTTAAATGTTTGAGACTTAAAAGATTTTATACATCTAATCTTATATCGTTATTAATACTTCCTGTATTTGAGTTTTGTTTTGACTAGTACAGTTAGGAAAGAACCACCTTAACGTAATGTAAGTGTCATTCGAATCGATATTCAACTTGATAATCTGTACATATACATATATATGTATTTTACTATTGTACTAGTTACTATCTACTAAGGAAATATAGTAGTCGAATCGAAACACTACCCGAGTTTTATTATACCTAGATACGTACAACTATTAGGTACATAAGATTTATCGTATACGTAACGTTCAATAATTGTAAATGTAGTATCCGCGCTTCCCATACCCAACAATAAGCAGTCAAACGAGAACACGAAACGTAGGGAACGGGATTGGTCGTGTAGGTAAATCAGTTGATTGTGGATCCAAGGATCGTGGGTTTGAATCTCTCCGTGCGTTATTATTTTTCGTTTAGACTCCAACATAAATATATTACAACGAGAGATTCGTTTCGATCGATCAATTTCATTGTCATAAAGCAAGTATATGTTCACAAAAGAAATGAAATATATTTAATCGTTAAGCGTTATAAAATTGACAAAATATGAAACCTTTTTATTAATTTATATAATCATTTTCGATCAACTATTTATTCAAACACGTGAATACTTCATGTAGCATTCCAGAAGGCCAGAACATTGTACGGTTATCGGAATTCGTTTGTACGTATCTTGATTTAGTTTCTCCATTCCCTGGAAAAAGAAATTTAGTTAATCGGTAATTAAGGGGAAGAAATAAACTTGTTTCTAGTCGATATCATTGCATCCCGATACCGACAAACGGATTGCACGTTCTCTACTACGAATTATCTGATTTTTCAAACTCATCTAAACAATTCTAAATAGCTGAGCGCGTCGTTCTTTTTTGTATTTACTTCTTATCGAGATTCTCACCACGGTTCTTCGAAGGAAGGTCGGCGCGTTAACGTCGGATGCGCTATTTCGGTTCGCGCCGTATCCGCTCGTAAAAGTCGCCCAAGGCGTGGGCATCCATCCTAATTAACAACCATGGAACCAGGTACGGGACCATCTGATACCATGCCGAGAGTATAATCCGCTCGTTACCAACACGAAGCCCACACGGACAACTACTCTTTACCGCCGTAAACCGTCTCTTCGGTCCCGCTTGCAGTTTGGATGCGATAGGCTTGTCGCCTTAGGAGAAACGAACACCACACGAGACAAAATTCGATCTATCTTGGAGATTTAACATTTCGAAAATCTCCTTGGTTTTAACGCTTAGCGAGATATGTAATTGAATTTTAATCATTGAACGTATAGAAATCATCATGCATCATTAAAAATACCTGAATTTGTCGCCAACCTTATCGACACGCTCATCCAAGACGACGGAAACCACAAGATTTAATTTTTTCCGATCCTTAAACAAATATCGGTTTTTGATTTTTCCACTTTGTTCCACCACTTCCAAAAATCTGAAAAAATTATAGGCTAATAACCATAATAAATCACTAACAGTGTAAAAACATAAACGTGGTCATTTCATAATTTCTATCAAAAGAATTATTTTTACACTTTTCAAATTTTTTAAAAATCCATTTTCCAGTGAAAAATTCTGAGAAAATTCACAAACACGTACGGCATAAAGTAGAATATCTGTAATTTCTTTCAAAATGTTTGATACAGTACAACAAAAGATATACAGCTTAAACTGTAAATTGCATTTTGCCCTGTAACTACCCTTCCAGTAAGGGTACGGGGTTGAAATTTAGCACAAATGGTTTTTTTTGAACACTCTATTAATTGATATGTTCATTGATCAATTTGACTCAAGGTCACTTTTGACTCCCTTATCCGGCTATACCTTTTTCGAGTGAAATTTCGATTGAGAAGGTGTGATCGAGATTGCAGAAGTCGAAATTTCATTTAACAGACAGAAATAGTTTCGATAGCATTCTTTATTATTAGTGGAGAAGAGATGAGGAAGCCAGCGGTAGGTTCAAAATAGAAGTTACGAATCGCAGAGCTAGTCGCATCGCAATAAATTGAAAGTGGAACGGTAGCGTCTCGTCTCGGCGATTTCGACTTGGCTTGATCGAGTACACGAAAATAAAGTATAAACACAGCAGTGCTAAGTCGGTTATAAACAAAGATACAAACTACTGTGTCTTACGGGACCGCGACTCACGCATGGCTGCCGGCGATAGAAGCAGCCAGTTCCGCTTTATGATCCCATAAATATCTCAATAGGAACTTAAATTACTTCTCCGGCCGGAGTCTGCGACTCCCTCAACCGCTCGGTTGCTGCTGTTCCGCCACTGCTGTTGGTTGCTGCTGCCTCTGGATATACATTTACCCGGCCGAGTTTTCGGTGGAGACGTTACTGTTATTTATGGGCTCGTTTATCAAGGTGGCACCCCTTTCCCCTATCGTTGCTTCGATGCAGACTATCCACCACTGCGAAGCCAATCTCGAGATATATCGCTTCGATACCAATCCGGCTCTCTCGAGTGAAAGAGAATTACGAAGAAGCAATCGGCTTCGTCTCTCTGATCCCTTCTTTCAACTTTTCGCCTAAGGGTACACTCTCCAACTTCTTTCAATGATAAATGCTCGCAAGGAACCGCTGTCGAACGATACCGGCAATTAGCGGTGCCTCATTTGTATCCGTGTCCGCGCACTGCTTGACGAGCTTGTACCTCTATTTACAAGTCTCTCAGAAATCTACTCCACTATTGGCTATCCACGCATACCATGTACGTACTTGTAATTTCTAATAGTCTATTCGTCGCCGACGCCGTCGCCGTCATCACAATGTGCTCGTCGTGAGCACAGAATCTACTTAAATATTCAGCGATTTAAGGTAGGCATTCGAACGCATCAGTTGTGGAGGAAAAGCATTTCCTAACGAGGAAATTTACAAAGTTTTATGTTCACTTTGAAACTTCTGAGGAATCATTCGCATTAACCTTTCATAGTGTTCACGTAACACCGAAAATGGATCGTAGTCTTAGGTTTCCTTGTCGGAAGACAAATAGCAGCAGTCGACAGGGAGCGCAGCATACTTTGTCCCTGACAGCGTGGCGAATAAACGCTCGATTACTTTACGAGCATGACAGGGTGAGAGTAGAGCAGATAGTGCGAACGCGAGCAAGAGAAAAGTGAGGGCACAGACAGAGAGAAAATCCACCCTTTCTCAATTCGTACATATCCACCTACACCTTCGAGGCCAACGATCCATTTCTGTGCCGCCAACACTATCCAATCCCTGATTCGAAACAGGAATGTGAGAGAGGACTTCAGGGATCTCGGCAGGGCAAAACCGCAGTGTTGATGTGAATGCTGATAATCCTGTACCTCTGCACTTTCCCCGATTAATTTCTGTTTCGCCGATGCGATATGAAGCGATGCTATGTGATTTATGGAGACTCGGCATTTTCACGTTGACAACAGAATCTAGATTCCGATTCAATTCAAAAACTCATCAAGTGTTTATCGATTTACTTGTATGAAGGATGAGTGTAATAGTGTTAGCGGGTGTAATAGCGTTAGTCTAGCGTTAAAATGCGTGTGAGCGGCCCAATGCCCTAATGTTTAGCCTAGAGATAAGAGACGCGGACGGTTGGTCAAAAGACAACCGAGAGACGAGAGGCAGTCGAATTAAAAGTATCAATAGAAAAACATCGCTTTAGAACCTTTTTAGAATTTTTTTATTTTAATTAAATACTTTTATTTCGTTTAATACTGGCTGTATTTACATCCCTTCATCCTGATTAAAGAAAATAATCTACATGTATTCTTCTTTCATTAGAGTGCATTACTAAACGTCGAAACCTCGAAAATGTCAGTAGAGATATCTTCCATGTGCAAAGAATATCTGAAAGTAACGGGGACCAAAGTACAATTGGAACGTTAAGAATAAAAGTTGGCAACTTTGACAATAATGAAATCGTGTAGAAATTGACGTGGTTGTTTATAACAGTCCAAAGAATTGCAAAAAAACTAACGATTTTAAATGTAATACCTCGCAATATATGTCTCATTTTAACTCCTTCCAAGCATCATCTTGATATTGTAAAAGTTTAAAAAATATTTATCTCGATGTATAGTTTATAGAAATTTTCCCAACGTTGGATCTTTTCCATACATATGATGTACTATTATCCCTTTAATCGCATAACTCTGTCCTTCGTCGCGTCGGTTCCTATGTAAGACTAAAACTACGTAAGATATAAGCTGTGTTAAGCTGTGCACGACTCACCTTGTACGTCAAACGATTATGAAAACTGTCAAAAACTTGGTAAAATCCGATTTGTTGAGATACCAATACAAGGTACAGCATCAGGTATGGGAGTCAGATTATAAATAATAAAATAGCAGTTTAGAAATAAATATCCGAAGGAAAGTTTATTAATCGTTAAGTTTGAAAATAAATTTAGCATAAAATCAGAACGTTCTCGTCGCGTATAAGACAGAAAAGGTTGGTAGAACCTAACATTTTTTCAACTTTACGCATTGTTAAGTACGAGTCAAAGGAAACTTCATCGATGTGCACTAGAAAGCTCGACAAAGCAATCTAAAAGCACTCTGGTAGAATACGTCTTTGTAGAATTATGTACACTCGTTAGCACATAATAAACGGTGTTTCACACACTATCTTTGCCCTATCCACCATACTTCATTCAACAGTTAATACACTCTGCTTCGCTATCGCGACATAGTAACGGTAATATGTAATAATCGGTAACCTTCTCCAAGAATAATTGCCAATTGAGACAAATATTTGTATACACAGGAAAATACATGACTGCACAAGAAAGAAACAAAGCATTGTTATTTTTACGTACAACCATTTACGTTATCGATTTGATAACGTAAATTTCCATCGAACAATAGATTTACAAATTCTGATTCAAGGCAACGTAAACATTCCCTGAACGATTGAAGTACATATACAGGGTGTCCTAAAAATGTTGTAACACCTTGAAAGGGGTGGTTAGAGAAGTGATTTGAAACACCTTTTTTTTTAGCGAAAATGTTGTCCGAGGCTTCGTTGAGGAGATATTAACGGAAAACACTGACCAATCAGAGCGCGAGTATGCCGGTGGAGCATACCGGTATCTCCTCAACGAAGCCTCGGACAACATTTTCGCTAAGGAAAAAGTTGTTTCAAATCACCTCCCTAATCACCCCTTTCAAGGACCTTCAACATTTTTGGGACACCCTGTATACATAAGTATATACATAAGTATACTCGCGCTCTGATTGGTCGGGGTTTTCTGTTAATATCTCCTTAACGAAGCCTCGGATAACATTTTCGCTATGGAAAAAGTTGTTTCAAATCACCTCCCTAATCACCCCTTTCAAGGACCTTCAACATTTTTGGGACACCTTGGAATTAGTACCTACTTAACGGGCATATATCTATTCACTTATGGGTCAGTTGAACTTGCAATAAAATTGCTCGATTTGTAGAAGAATCTCTTTTATTTATCGAAAACTTTAATCTTGATTGGAATATTATAGGAGGTAGGTATGTATGTACATTAAAAGATCTAGATTATCGAAACGTAGATATAGAAACGTCTGAACATTGCTTTGTGTGTTATGTGTCAAGCTGTCACAGTACGATAGATGAAAAGGAGCAATTTTTAAAGAAGTAACGCCTGAACGAGTGTGACACTCTGAGATTTTCAGACATTATTAAGATTGAGGGTGCCAACGGCAGAAGTCGTCGGGTTGGAGGGCGAGAACTGAGTGATTTAGTGGGGTGGCCACTCGACGACTGACCGAGATAACCTGCCTGTCCACGGAACAACCCCATTTGTCCAATGTCTTCCGCTACAAAACTGCTCGTCGCCCTCCATGCTGGGCGTCCTTTTGAATAATGATCGTGCTTTGTCAACTGGCAGACTGCTGATAATGCCGGATACGTTGGATGAGCGAAAGAAAAAGCTTTTTAAATTCTTTGCTTTTCCTGATAACATTACACAGATTTTGGGTTCGCGCGTAGTACGAAGCCTAGCAAAACAATCAATTTCCCCAATTTTATGCAAACTAATGCTAAAATTCTGCGGTGATCAGCAAACAGTTTTAATCAAATGTACGCGGCTTTTATACTCCATAGAAAATGTAAACGCTAAAGCAGGATTGAAAAATATTAGCTGATCAGCAGGGATCGAAAGATTTCCAATGTTCAAATATAGTTCTCCGGCTCGTTATTCGAGCCTGGATCAAGATATAACAACAACTACGAGTTTTACGTAAGTACATAGTCGTAATCTGGAATATTTGTGAAGCCAGCTTTACGAGCCCTGGTTGTCTCGAAAAACACAAATCTATTGTCTACCAGGGAAACTGAACACCGCGAACATTATCATAGAAAGCGTGGATCGAGCACGAAATACGAGTCATCCGATAAGTATGTATACAGTTTTAAGGGGAAATATATCTCAATGGGAGACGAAGAAGAAGA